GGACCAGTATTACTGGTCGAAACGTCGTGTATTAATTGAAAATATACTGTGCCAGTTACCGTCGATATAATCCTTTATTGTTGTGTTTTTACTCGCTGGCGACCCACCTCTGACTATAAATATGGATGTCCCTTGGACATTCATATCGGATCAATTGGACGTCCAGTGGACCTCTGGTGGAAGAAAATACAGTACTTCTAATGGATGTCCAGTTCGGATGTCTTGTATTAGTAGCCTACCTCATAATACGGGTCTCTCCCCTTAACGTAACATGTGCAGATGCTTCTTAAATTCTTGTAAATGATGTCCTCGTTGTTGGAAACAGAATGTTGTAACCGATTTTTCTGTATGCTAATCGTACCACTTTTACGTTTCAGATCGCGGTGAATGGGGAGCACTTTTGTGACTTCTATTACCGATTGCCCCTCGAAGATATAACAGCTCTTGAAGTTAACGGGACCATTGAAGATATTAGGATTCGTCAACTTAATCTGTCAGTATATCCGGATCCCAATATCTGCCGGCCATCGCGGACATTGGTCTTGACAACCGAAGAACCACTTGTGGATTTTTTAGTAAAATTTACCATTTTACTCATATACGTAAAAGTCGAAAGACTAATGCACAAGATGTAATCAAACGAGAAAGCAAAATCCAAGCAGTTACATTAAAATTTGCCGGAAATTTATATAAACTGTTTTAGTTGTGTTTAATAATTTTAATCAATTTGTTTATTATTTATTGGGAATGGAGATAAAACGCTCGATGCTCAAAAAGAAACTTTTATTGTGAAACGACGCCTCCCTAGCTGTCTCTTAGTTGTCTTAAGTTGTCGAAATCAACGTTACACATATAATAAAGGTTTGTAAATTGTAAATTTCATCTATAATGTGTATTTCTATTTTTCGCTATTTATTAATAATACTATGGCCATCTTTTTCTTACAGTTTGGATAAGATGGCCAACTTTTTTCACAAGTTGACCACGCACTGGTCCAATCATGGAATATTAGCTGTTATTCTCTCTAACAATAAGTTTTATCATTGTATTTGTGAAACCGTTTTTGCGAATTGTCGTTAGTTACGCGTGCAAATACCGATGTCTATTTTCATCTTAGGGCATACCCGCGAAAGAAATATGAAATTACAGAAAACGTACCTCCTCAAGTTTTGTAGATTATAAGAATAGTTAAAAATGATGCGTTTCTGGCTCTCCGACATAATATTGTCACGTCCTCGGATCGCGTGCGCGTTCTAAACGTGTCACTCACGCACTTACGCACACTCGCGCTTATGGAATGACTCGGAGTACTCGGACTCGGGTCAACGAGAAAAAAAAACTTCATTTACTGTTCAAAACTTTTCCCAAAATGCTATCACGGGCTGCATTCAGCAGAAAAAGCTGCTTTACAACTGTTGTAAAATTTGTGAATCTGATTGGTGTATTCTCTTAATCTTGAGTGAATTTAAGAGCGTACGCCAATCAGATTCACAAATTTTACAACAGTTGCAAAGCAGTTTTTTCTGCTGAACGTAGCCAATATCTCTCGTTGCTAAGAAGCGCTCGTCAATCTTCTATCGATTCGAGACTCGATCCAGCTAACTTGTCAGGGTCGTAATAACGCGTGCGCAACAATATCAAGAAATTTATCACATCGTTTTAAAGATATTTACTAAATATAAAAATAATCATTATAAATTACTAAAATTTGAAGAATGATATAAAAGTTATTTAAGAATGATGCTTCTAAATTTTTAACTTTAAAAACAATTGTCTCGGTAAAGAAGTGTTGTAAAGAAATTTATAAAAATTTATAGGGTCTTTTTTACTTACTCTACAAGTCGTAAGAGATTGCCAGCCTTTACAGGAACACCCTGTATATACTTATATCTATATTTCTAATTACTAAATATACAAAATTCTCAAAATTGCACTTTCTGTTCAATTATAAACCGGTACTGTTTGATTACATCTAACAATAAGTTTATTTTAAAACATGTATGAAATTTGATGTTCCTTTTACAGGACGTTCCAGTCACTGTAGATATTGGTAGTGAATTTCGCAATGGGGCTCGTTTATTCATTGCCGGAAGGTTGAAGCTACTGCCACACTCGTGAGTGTTTAATATTGTAAATTTAACCGTTTGGGTACCTCCTCAAATTTATTCATTCAGATATACTCATGAACTCTTGCAGATTTTATGTAAATCTACAGAAGGGTAAAGCTATTTATCCTCATCCCGTTATACCACTACATTTAAATCCACGTTTTCTATATGGCAGTAGCGCACCATACGTCGTCATGAATTGTTGGAACAATGGCACGTGGGGACATGAGGAACGACATGAAGGCCACTTATCCTGGATGCCCGGTCGAGACTTTTTGCTTACGTGAGGCTTTTGTGACTGAACGATATGTGATTCCTATAGATATTGTTTACAAATTTTTCTAACAACAGATATCCATTTAACAGTATTCGCTGCGAATACGCGGGATATACGATATGGCTGGATAACAAGATGATCGGCGAATTTAAACATAGATTGCAATCATTAATGGCGGACACTCTACGAATCTCTGGTGATATTGTGCTTTATCAACTTAGTATGAGTTACGCTTAAGAAACTGATCAATTACAAATAATATGATAATTAAGGAGAGCAAATGTTTGAATATAGAAGTTGCTGAGATTTTACGTTAAGTTGCTTGACAAATATGTACGTACAACGTTAATGTATGTGATAACATTCTCAACACAATGCTAAACTCTAATTCTAAGAGATTTACCCTTTCATTTTCATGAAAATGAGTCACGTGAGTGTTCCTGAATAAATATTTCTAAATTCCTGGCACAAGTAAAAATTAATCAAGATTACATTAAAATTACGATAGTCATTATTTGAAAGAAATTACACATAGATACTTGATCCCTTAGCTGGTACTGTGGGGTATTAAACGCCCCAGCCTAGTTCAGCACCAATTTAAGTCCCCTTATAGTACACAAATGGTACTTGTGGTGCCATTTCTTGTTAGAAAGAACCCTCTTCCTTCTGGAGTACAGAGCGTAATCCTAAAAGTGTTACTGTAGCTGTGACAGTTGAGTGAAACGGACCGGGGTCATCAGGGACCCCAGTGTGCCAGCTATAACTATTCGAAGATTTTTTTCTGAACTTTTTTCATTGATTTTCGTCATCAGTGTGTAAAAATGGTAAGATCATCATGTTGACGATTTGCGATAATCATCGTCTTTTCTTTTTTAACGATTGCGCTGACTCGTAGATCAATAAAATCATTTTACATATATTTTTTACGATTATATTGATCCTTTTTTATATTATTTACTTATTTTTCTACATTAATTGAGTAAAAGTTACTTATACCTAATAAATAAACAAGTATATTTTTAAAAATAAGTTGTACATTTTTGGCTGAAATTCATCTCTTCAACTTTCCAAACAAATACCTTTTTTGAACCGACCACTATTAAAAATGTTGTAACTAAACTTTATTTGTGTTAGAATACCCTTTAGGTTCGTTTAAAGGCACGGATGCAGGACGATCTTATGAAATTTTTCATAGCAATCAAAGTATGAATGTTTTTGGAACTCAATGCCGAGATACCCTTACGAAAAAGTAACGAAATAATTACTAGAAAATTACTGTATATCAGTAATTTAACTATCACAAATTACTGATGTACAGTAATTTTCTAATAATTATTTCGGTGCTTTTCCGTAAGGGTATTCTTGTATTTCTCCTCATTGTCAGTATATGTCAATATGTTTATGTATATTTACATTTGCATATATTACGAGAGATATTTATTTATGAGAATAAATCAATATATCGAATAACAATTCACAATTTATTTATATATGTCGTGTATATGTTAGAATATTATCGATATATTCAAACAACTTAAAAATACTTCCATATACGACTTATCCTATGCATATTATTGCCATTGTTGCTAAAATCAAACAGAATAACAGGAAAGATATACGATCGACAGCCGTGCCTGCAAGAATCCATTCCAATTGAGTGGTGTTCTTTGTTGGCGAAATTATGTTTTGCCGATCTCCGTCGTCTGAAATGTTAGACGTCGAATTAGTTGTGGATTCCTCCGTAAGTTTGCCACGCAATTCTTGAGCTGGCATAGGCCGTCGCGATTCGATCTGAAAAAAAATTATCAATATTAATTCAATAATAAGAGAGAGTTCAATTTTAAATTATTCGATAACTGTTGCGAATTTTGTAAAATGGTACACGATTTTTCTCCTTAGTCTGACCCAATCTACCACTATTTTTCGTAGGGGTGCTTTTGCGTCAGACACCCTGTATAAACAAAATTTTTTAAACCTAATTTTTAATCTTAAAATGTTAATTACCACACTTATGAGATCGGAAAGTCCTAACAGTTTTCCAGGCCAACTTAACAAACATAGCCTAATATTTCGTGGAAGCGGTTTGCAGTAAACTCTCTTTGCCATGTTGATTACTATTATTGATAGTATCAACGATATTGTTTCTAGACAGAGACAGCCACTGTAAAAGTAAACTGTAAAATAACATATGTTAGTTAATGACAATTTTCTCTGGTTTTTGATAATTGTAAAATTTGCTGAAAACCAAAACATAAATATTTTAAAGTATTTAAAGAGTTAAGTCGTGGACCCCCCCCATCTGATAAGAATTAATAAAAAAATAAGATAGCCAACGGTTCTAAGATATCCTTCCGTAAAAGGAGATAGTATATGGGCCAGTGGGCCGCGGTTGATCTCATCCTTGAGAAAACTCCACTTAAAATTAGAGAACGTGTAAGTGCGCAGGTCTGAGTGTCGTGGCGAGGAGGAATCGACGAATCGATCGAACCCCTCGATCTCTTTCGTTCGGATCGTCAGACTGAGAGGAAGTAAAAAGTACGGGCTCAAATATATATTGGGGAAAGATCCTTGAAGCCTACAAAACCTCGATTAACAACCAGAGATGGGATCCAGGAAGATAAAGGAGAGCGGGAGGAAACTGGCGATCTTGAGCAGGAGAAAGAGCCAACGCGGGATCAAAAAGCACTACAGTTCATGGAGATGAGTAGATCTAAAAAATGTTATTAGTTATTAAATCATAAGAAAGGTATTTATCGGTAAGAAAGGAATCACCGATCGAATTCCTTATCATTTCAAAGGAATAGAGTAGTAATATTATAGGCAAAACAATTTATAGAGACACATCGAGAGGCATCTGCCCGGCCGTTAGCCGAGACCTAGAAAAATTAGTAAATCACAATAAATGTTAACTCATCCTTCGAAGCATGCTGACAGGAAAATTGAGAGATTGCGTATGATCAACTAAGATAGTTAAAGACATTTAGATAGGAAAAATAGGAGCGAATAATTTAGACTATTAAAATTCATAAATACGCGGACTATAATCCAATGTGATCAGCGTGATTAATAAAGAATCTAATATTTCTATGTAAATTGTAGACAAAAGTTTCTTCCTCCTCGCACCCCACTCGCGATCCTCCATGTGAGATTGATCTAAATCTCACACGGTCTGAACAGGATGCAGGTAGCCCAATAGTTTATTATGTGAATTTTTATATACCAAGGCACGGTGGTCGAATTGGTAAGGGAGGTATTCATATCCTCGCCGTGATAATATTTTTCGCAATAAGAATTCTTTACATTGACGGGGATAAGGGATTATATAGAGTGCAAGTACCAAAACAATTTAAATCATTTATCGATTTAAAAGTATATAAATTTTATTGTTCCACCAAAAGAAAGTATACTCGGCGCGCAGGACATATTGGAAACAGACGAAACAGTATATAAAAATTCACATAATAAACTGTTACGTCCTGTGAACACCACAATTTCTTTCTTTCATATGCTAATACAGAACGCGTATACAGAACAGCTCACTTTTTTGCTTATTATTTTCACGATTTAATACGTAAATTACTTCTTTTTTCAAAACCTGTTTCAAGTTTGAAAAGCTTCACGTTAATTTATATCTTAATTATAATCCATTCGAACGAAATTATCTCAAGTGAAAAAAATTGTATATCAACGTAGAATACAAACAGACAGATTATTTTTATCATTTCAGATTGAAGATCTTTTTACTGTAAAATGACGTTTATCTTTTTTAAAGTGTGCCTAAAAATGATTAAAGGTTTTAGAAAGGAAGTAGACTTTTTCATTAGTTTACCTATGAGTGGAGGGGTCGCGGTTAATGGTACTTTAAGGCCGAGGAAGCCTAAAAATACGGCGATGATTAATATAGTACAGGCCGCAACGCTGATCTTCGTTTCACTTTGAGGAGGTAACCAAAACGTGACCAGAACCAAGAAAACTATGGCTGAAAATTCATATATCGTAAATATCATGGATGGGATTAAATTTAGGACTAAGCTAGATAAGTTTAGCTTTTGGATGTAATTTCATTACAATCGCATGACTTAGAAACGATTTTGCTGGGGATAGTCCCATAATAACCAGAGCTCAGGCTACTACTGAATTTCTTAAATTATATCATTGTGTAAAAGAGTATTATAGAATAAACGATATATATTTGTAACAAAAATATTTGCAAAAATATAGTAGAAGATAGAATGAAGGAACAATAAGGAAAAAACTTGTATTTTTACTGTTTTATCTCTAATATTTCATAGTTTATCTTTTATTCCTATTATTTCAGAAAATAATATTTGAAATATTAAGTATCACATTTTTAGGGAAGAGAAAAACAATGGAAATTTTTGTTTTCATGGCATGACCGCTACTGAGAGAGTTAACGCTATCTAAACAATAATTAATAGTACACACCGGCAGCAGGCATCAGCAATATACTGCAATAAAGCGCCGAGTTTCTCTTTAAAGTCATCTTAAAATTTAGATTGATGTATGGTTCTGCACAACACGCGTACATGACTGATTCACGTGATTTGCTCATGTCCAATAATTTCCACTCCGCATTTTTCACATACATGCGTTCCTGTTGTAAATTATTAATTGAATTATATAATTACATTATATAATATGGCCTTTATAATAATACATCAAATAATTTATAAGATGTTACTTTATATATATGTAGACGTATACTGAATAATTACGAAAAGTTTTTAAAAATCTTTTGTTCAATTAAAAGAACTGTTAGTGATTTTTTAATCTGGGGTAAGAGAGAGGGGGGAAGAGAAAAAGAGACTCTCTGAAATGATATGAAAAACTGAGTCAGTGAGCTACTGTAATAAAACTTTTTATATTTTTTAATATTTTTTATGTTTTTATATTTTATTTTTATGAAGTTGTATCTAACAATTAGAGAAGTTGTATCTAACAATTAGAAAATTAACATCTTGTTAGCCACACTTAAATTATGTCGAATTTCGTAAGATGTTATAAGATAATAAAAAATTAGACAGGAAATTTAAACGAAAAGATATTAAATTAAATAGTTAAATAATATGAAGAAATCTCTCAAGGGTCAATAATCGAGTGAATCTAGATGTCAAATTACAAAGTTAACTTCTAAACATAAGTGGCACGTTTCGACTTGTGTAAAGTTATCTTCAGCCATAAATTAAATTAATAAATTCTATAAAAATGTTAGACAAATAAAACAAAGAAGTAATAAAAAAACGAAAATTTATAAACATGAAAAGATAGAAATGGAAATAGGGGAAAATCCTGAACAGTCTAAAAGTAAGAAACTAGTCTGTAAATAAAAAATAATAAAACCAGATATTAGATATAGGTGAAATTTACAAGCACAAAAACTATATTTAACTGTGTCGGTAAAAAAAGATGGCCGAAGGATCCTCTTAAGACAGATGTAATAACGTGTAATTATATTTTTTATACCGTGTTTTCAACGGTCTCGCTCAATTGCATGTCGATTTGCTCGCCATGGTACGTCCAGGAGCCGAACGTCATATTGCAAACCTGAGTATCAAATGGCCAAAGACGAAAGTCCAGCTCACAAAGTCCGACAAATTGCGAGGGTGGCACCCATAATACTTGACCATCGTGGAAAATGATGCAGTGCGTGTCACCATAATGCTCTACCGTTCCCGCAGTTCCACTGAATAAAAGAAGTATATCGAATAATTCAACACGATTTTAATGTAAGGAGGGGTTTCTGATAAAGATTTTAATGTAACAGGGGTTTGAAGAAAGAATCATATAATTAGCTACTCGAACAGTTTCACAGAGAAATATTTGAATTTTCGAAGTTTGAATAGATTGAATGAAGCTGATAAGTATTTTGCTTCATTTCTTTGATCGAATAGAGTGA